GATTGCTGTGTAATCGCAGCCTCATCTCCATTGCAACTCTATGCAGAATCAGACCAGACACGAATCCAATCTATAAATTCGAAAGGTAACGTAAACACTCTCACTGTTTTTTGTTTACTATCCCTTACCTTGATTATTTTATCAATCGTTTATACTTTACTATTCAGAAATTATCTTGAATTCGGCTGGTAATGTCTGCTTGTGCTGCCACTGCTGTCTGTCTGTCTGTCTGTTATCACATCACAGATGTCTCTGAAATCTCCCAGATCGATTCCTGCCTTAATTTAAGACAGAAAGAACAAACAGAAAGACATTTCTACATATCATTTCTATATCATTCTTGTTCTTTTCAGGGTATGGAATTCACAAAGTCTCTTGTCCATCTGCCGCAAATGCGCTTTAATGATGTTGAAAGGATTGTGGCTCAGTTTTCACACACACCATGTTCCAAACAGGACAAGGGCTACAAGTTGTTCATTGAACAGTACCTGTTTGATTATCAAGGTAAAGTGCTTTTGTCTTTGTTAGTAAACATCTCCACCTGCAAAAATCTAAGTGCTTTCTGCAACAGCAATAGTTCACAAATTGATACCTATTAGGCTGTGGACCCCGATTTGTATATGTTTAAGCCTGAGACCCTGCATCTGCCCTCATTGGTATTTCCCCATTAACTGGTGACATTTTATTCAGAAAAAGTTCCAGTGGAACTAAAGAGCACAGACGGCACACTACAGGTGTGCCACAAAATGATTAAGATAATGAAAATGTTGCTTTTTTTGTTGCTTGTTTGCTTTTTATATGGAGCTAGTATATGTAATATGTTGATTAAAAATATATATATTATGGAGAGAAAATCATTACAATTCCACAATATTCTAATTTTGGGGATTTACCTATATAGCACCTTGCCATTACCTCTGGCATGCACCGGCTCTTTTCAAACCTGGCACCAGCCAAGGACACAGGTCAGATATTGTTTGTTTGATGTTCAACAAGTTCAATAATTTGTATTGTCGTATCAAATCCTCATTAATCTTATTTTTATTACAGGGGATTGCACCAGAGGCCACAAATGAAATGGAGGTGCATAGACCAGTGTCTACAAAAAAGAGGGTGTCAGGACTGGTGTTAAATGCACACTGTATAAGGCATATACTGGTGAGTATGACTGAGCGCTCACCTGTCATATTAATAAAATGCATTTCTAACAGAACATATATATGTCATACATTTCTTTGGGAATCAATGATTGGTATGGGGGCAGCTTAAATACTTTTTTTTTTTAAGTGTAATGCATTTAGTTGTGCATGTTTTGTATTTTCTGTTTTCTTTACAAACATAGACAGGTAGGTGAGCTTTATTTTGAAAGAACAGGCGCCATACTTCAATCTGCATTTGACTTTTCTCCCTTTTTTCTGTCAGGACCTCTTCCAGATCCCCATGTTATGGCGAGTAGAGGCAAACTAAAAGACTTAAGATGGTGGAGTCCCAATTTGGCCAAGTGCCATTTGGGTCCGTGCTCTCATACCAGTGCCCTCCCGAAATAAGCACAGACATTATTAAACACCCTGGTTGCTCCGAGTTTCCTTAGTTGCCTGTAGACGGTTTTCATTACAAATGTATATCTCCAACCACTTTTCAGCCCAACTACAGGCAACAATGCCACTTAGGCCCGAACTACACGTACAGTATATGGATATTTATTTATCAGGATATTTTTGTACTCCCGTCTAAATAAATGTATCTGTCCACACGTGTGAGTTCTCAAAAATATCTGCGTCCTCACGTAGCCTTCAAACTAAATCCTATCTGGTGCCGCTTAAAAAAAATTCAGGAACAAAGCTAACTGATTGGCCAATGAATTGTAACAGCGTGATGCGTCATGCATTGTTTGCGGAAGCTACGCTAGTGCGTCGGGTCCATGTGACGGACCATGTGACCAATAAAAGTATTGGCCACAGCAGACGCGTCTGTGAGCTGGCTGACTGGTGGATTTAATTGTATAAAACAAGGTTCACTTGCAAGGCTGAAATTAGCCCCAAAGGGGCAAAACAAACGTAAAGAATACCCTGTCTGTCCTCCATCGTTGTTGTTGTTGTTTTTCTTTTTAATTCGCATGCGCGAGCTGCGGTTTGACGTCATTGATCCGTAAAAGTCCAACCACACGAATCCACTACGGATACGGGATACGGATATTTTTTTATTTTTCCACTTGTTTTTCCGGATTCAGATTTATCCGGTTTCATGCCAAACTCCCATTTTGGTGTGGTAGGGAGGCCTAATCGGACATAAATATGTGCGGTTTGAAATATATCCGCATTTGTGTAGTTCGGGCCTTAGACAGCTTGCAGGTGTCACGGGAGACGTCTGCTGCAATTGAAGCAGAAACCCGAGAGCAGTCCAAATGTACACTGTGGACTGAGGTATGCAAACCTCGACTTACAGCAAGTTGATTCTGTGAAATATGCCATGTTCTTGGGGAGTCTTCTGCCAAAGCCTTAGCAGCCCACATCAAAAAAGGTACTCCACAGACAGCTGCCATGAAATGAGGGCTGGACCTGGAACCAAAAATACTGAAGACATATGCAGACGTCTTTGATGTATCTGTGACACAGTGTGGGTTCATTAATCACCCTGATGCACCTCACCTTGGAGCCAGCCCTGATGCCAAAGTATTTTACCTAAAGGGAACACCAACATTTGGGCTGGCTGAGGTAAAGAGTGTTGATGTTGAAGACCTGACACAAGTTAGACACCTGAACACAGTACAAGGCAAACCTTACCTTAAGAGGAGTCACAAATACTATTACCAGGTTCAAGGACAACTTGCCTTAAGTGGACTTGACTGGTGTGATTTTATTACAGATACTCAAGCTAACTATGCAGTTGAAAGGATTCACAGGGATGAGGAGGTTATGCAGTCAATGCGAGCAAAACTTGACTCCTTTATTATACTGTGTACATGGATGTGTTCTTAACACACTGATTAGGTCAACTTCAACACTCCCAAGGTTAAGTGTATTGTGTCTGTTCTTGTCAATATTTGAATATGCAGTTTGTGTGGTATTTAACGTTTGCAAGAAAAAGTTTTTTTTTTACTGACTTGTTTGACCAAAATATGTAAAGAAAAATCATGCATGTATCAACTATACATTTGATTTTCTGTTCATAAGACAAAAAAGGGAGCACCAAAATTTGGAATCTGACACAAGTTAAACACACAAACTCAGTAAATGGCAGAATGAGTTTTCAGACTGGTTTGTCCTCTTTTATATCCAGTGGCCCCATGTAGTTAGACATAATGCAACAGATGCTCCACAGCTGATTGACAGAACCAGTCATAAACAGGGGAACAACTCCATCCCAAATATGGTACTCCTTCACTCTGCGTATGGCCCTCTCTACTAAAATCCTTAAACGGGCGATAGCCTGGGTCTTTAGCATGTCCTCCGTGCTGAGCGGATTTCTTAAGTGGAGGTATGATGAGTGTTACCCCCACTTCAGAAAGCATCTCCTCAATTAAAAAGCCCTTGTCTGCCATTACTCCGTCTCTGGGCTCCAGCAACTGTAACAGCTGTGATTCACGAGGTTATTTCTCTGCCCGAGATTGAGCCTGTATACAGTTTTGAAACAAATGTGACCACCCCACATGGAAAGATCCCGATCAACCTCTTAAAGGTGGTGTGGTTTTTGTAGCTGGAGAAGGTTTCTGACTGGAGTGAGAGGGAGGAAGGCGTTTTGTAGCGTATCTCTGTGTAGTCTATTATCTGACTTCAGGGCAGTACAGCTTAAACTTGTCAGGCATTGTACATTGTACTTGCTCTCTTGTCATCCACAATAGTATGGACCCAAGAACAAGAAACAGGTAGCTCGTCCACGTTGAGATGATGCGACTAACTGTGGACTGGCTAATCTAAAAGATTGACAACAGTGTTCTCTCATGAAGTCCAGCAGCAACACGACAGAGAAACATGAAGAACTCATCAATGAGTGGGAGTTTGCGAGGGCAAGGGCTAGAGGTAGGAAGATCTTGGGATGTTTGCTGGGCCTTGGACCAGTACACAATTTTTGAAGCAGATGGCTTAATGGTGTGGTGAGACGCCTCCTCCTTTTGTTTTATTTTGGCTGAGCTTCCTGTGTTTCCTTGTTTGCCTGGTCTGGCTTTACTCTCTTCCAGAGCTTCCTCCCCTCCCCCGGTCGCTGAGGCTGAGTGAAACTACACACCTGCTCTTCATCTACAATCAAAGCACTTTAAGAAGCCAGCAGCCCTCAGTCTCAGCGCCTGAGTATTGTCTTCACTTCCAAGTGGTACAAGACGCATCTCCTGGCCTTCCTCTTTGTTTAAGTACTCGTAACTCTGCTCCTTGTGATTCTTTGCATGTCTACTCACTTCCTTCTCCTCTGTTTTTCCTGCAGTGTCTCCAGGCCACACGATAGCCAGCCAACCAGCCTACCGGACTTCCTCTTTTTACCTTTAACCTGAGTTTGGACAGTAAGATTACATCTTTAGTTGATATCTGCCTCTGTGTCTGCTTCTGGGTCCTCAAACACACCAGTCACGCCACAAATGGACTCCCAAAAAGAAATTAAAAACCTCCTTTGAGATGAATCTTGTGTAAAAACGAAAGTCATCATCTGTGACACAGTACTGGTATATGAGGGGCTGCTGCACACCAACATTCATCTGCTCCAGTTCCATTTCCAGGAATAAAACTTTAAGCTCCAACCCCTGTATTCTTCTCAAAGCACTGTCCAGTTTACCTAAAGAGGAAGAAAAAAATACACATCACTACTCCATCTGTACATTTTGCAATTAAGTTCAGTCTTTAGCAGATTTTCAACTCAAGCACAGGCAAACAATAAAGACACATCACCTGCATCACACCACCAAGTTTTTCATCAAACAAAATTTTAAATGATCATAATTTACTTTTGGACAAGGGTCTTCTTCAGATGTCTGCCCAACCAAAATGTTACTGTGTTAATAATTTTGAGGTTTGTGTTGTGTGGCTGGTTCGTAGTGAGGACCCAGATGCAGACACTGAGACTGAGATCAACTTAAAGTGAATTTTAATGTCTAACAAAAGGTTGTAAAGGCAAACGAGGAAGTCCGGAGGGCTGGTTGGCTGGCTGTCGTGTGGGCTGGAGACACTGCAGGAGAAAACCAGAGGAGACCGGAGTTAAAGAACATGAAAAGAGTCACTAGGAGCAAAGTGGGAGTTAAAGAACATGAAAAGAGTCACGAGGAGCAAAATTCTGATAGGGATACAAACAAGGTTGGCCAGGAGACGTGTCTTTACCGCTAGGAAGGGTAGACAATACTCAGGCCCTGAGGCTGAGGGCTGCAGGCTTCTTAAAGTGCCTTGATTGGAGATGTGGAGCAGGTGTAGGCCTGTCACGATAACAAATTTTGCTGGACGATAATTGTGCTACAAATTATCGCCGATAAACGATATTATTGACACCGTTTTTTAAATTATAGATAATGATATTATATGGCATAATAATGCGAGTACACCATGTCAAAAGTGATAAACTTTAATTTCCACACGAGAACAACACTGGTTGTTTTCGTTGACTAAAATATTTCCCTTTTCTCCCACGACGAAGACGTAACGTTGACGAGCTAAACAGAAGTCGGAGATGACTAAAATGTGACGAGACGAAAGTGCGTTTACGTTGATGGGACGAGACGAAAATGACGAACAGAGTTGCAAAACTCAGTCAGTTAAACGCTAAACATATAGGAGCAGCTTCAGTCCGCGCTGACAGCTCTCATCAGCCTGCTGTGCTCCTCCAACACACAGACACACACACACACACGCGCGCACACACACACGAGTTTTATGGTTGACGAAAACAAAACTAGTTTAAAGCCGAAATATTCCCACACTTGGGCTGTTGCGTTCGGTTTAGACACCAAAGCTGTCGTGTTCATTCTGTTAGCTTGCTTTTCACTCACGACGCTCACTTGCAGCACTGTATCCAAAAAGTCTGTGTCTGTGTGCGCCAGCCCCCTCGTGACAAAGACACTGAATGACTGACAGGAGGGTTCACTAACTCCGTTCATTCCGCTATAGAGCCAACACCCCCAGGTGCCGAGAAAAATGCGTAGAGTGAGACCTCTTCTCTCATCCAGCGTGTTTGGTAGCGAGAGAGGAGGAAAACAAAGGCACGTCAGTTATCGAGGCTGGCAAAATGACCGACCTCGTTTTTATTTATCGAGCGATAAGGCGATTTATTGATTATCGCGACAGGCCTAAGCAGGTGTGTAGTCTCACTCAGCCTCAGTGCCGGGGGAGGGGAGGAAGCTCTGGAAAAGAGTGAAGCCAGACCAGGCAAACAAGGAAACACAGGAAGTCCAGCCAAAATAAAACATGAGGAGGCGTCTCACCACAGTTTGTTTTTTTTTTGAGCTTATGAAGATGGCGTGCTGTCAGTACTATCCACAATGTTATTGACTCCCATGTATCTTTTCTATCAGACAGTAAGTTTGTAATACTAACCAGGGGATGGACGGCAATCATAATCATGATCTTTGCCCACTGCAGTGTATTGCCTAGTCTGTACTATCCCCTATTCCTTGTCCTCTGTTCTCTGTTCGCTGGACTGTCCCCTGTCCTCTGAACTTTCCTTTGGACTGCCCCTCCCAGTCGTCACCTGGGCTGTATTCAATCGCACACAGATGCTTTCGTACTCGCTGGTTAACTAGCACCCGAGGTGTGAACCTTAAAAAATTAAAGACAAAAGTTGACATATTACATCAAAAATGCTTTTACATGCCTCCAGGAATATGTTTCATAGGTTTCATAGCAATATAATAGAGCTTGAATGTCTCAAGAATAGTTACTATAGGTTAGTTCATAGGCTCGGTGCCATGATCTGTTAACTGCTTAACCAGTTTTGAACCTGTGAGTCATCTCTCCTTAGTCTATCAATTGTTAAAATTTGTATCTTGATCTGAAAATGCATTTTCTGTTTAGTATAAAGCTGGAGAGACAGGTAGAGCACTGTACTAGCTAGGTTTAACATTGTAATGTGATAATTACCCCAGTCATTCCAGTGGAATCTTGAAGGCGGCAGTAGCTCAGGAGGTAGAGCGGTCGTCCAATAACCGGAAGGTTGGCCGTTCGATTCCCCCCTAATCCAAGTCTGTCCGTTGTGTCCTTGGGCAAGACACTTAACCCACCTTCCTCCCAGTGTGTGTCCTCCACTGGTGTATGATTGTGAGTGTTGTGTGGTGGTGGTCGGAGAGGCCGTAGGCGCAGAATGGCAGCCACGTTTCCACCACCACCAAAGTGTGACTGTGTGAGCGAATGAATGATGTATCCAATGTAAAGCGCTTTGAGGGTCTCTGATAAAGCGCTATATGAAATCTGATGCATTATTTTTATTATTATTATTAAGGCACAGCTCCGTGTTTAATGCTTCCACTGGCTTGTGTGGACTTGTGCAAATCCTCGGGTTTGAAATGTTCACTGCAAACATAGGTGCTTCCATGAGTTATTGTAAAACTTGGTCCCTCATCTCTCCTGATTGCCCTCACCCAGTTGCCACAAGCAGTTTTATCAACTGGGAAGTCATGGAAACCTAAGTGAGGGGATTTCTTTTTGCCGTTGGTGCAACACGGGACGCTACACCAAGCTTGTGACATATTGTTGTGAGAAAGAGTCTCGTCCGGGGAGTAATTTAGTCTAGAAACGCCACTGACCACACGTCCAAAACAACACTCATTATAAAACCCAGTGGCCCTTGTAGTTTCAATTTTAGCTTTCCTTAGATTACATAAGAATAGATTCAGTTCTTTGGCCAAGAGTAAGAGGTATGGTGAGTGATTATACATTGATATAAAAAGGAAATGCTAAATGAAATTATGCTAGATAAACACGGGGTGGTCGCTAGCATCATTAACATGAGTTAGCTTCCATTCCCGGCATATTTAGACGATTTCATAGTAGGAAAATTTAAAATGCAGACAAAGTTAGCAAGAGAACATATTGCCAAGTCGTAAATAAAATCAGTCTTTACTATACCTTTCAGAATTTCACATTATGGATCTTGAGTTTGGGGAGGTCCATGTAAACCTAATGGGATTTCTCCTGGGATCCCCTGTTAGTAGTAAAACCGGAAGCGAAGATGACGTCATGTGAATTCCCTCTATTTGGGGAGAACAGCATGCTCATATTGGTTTCAGGTCCTCTGAAGGACACAAAATGTGGAATGCTTCAGAGCATCTACCATCTGAATTGTAAACAGCATGTGAGTCCCAAAATAAAGGGGAAAAAAAGAAATCAAAGCATCCTTGCTTTTGTATTCAAATCAGTCTGTGGTCTGAGTTGACCTTTTGATCTTCCTAAAACATTTTCTGATAAATAGCTTAAGTCTCATAATGAAAGCAGTGTAGTAGTGCATAACAAGGACGATGCAAAAACTATCATTAAAAACAGAGTAGAGTACTTAAAAACCCAGGGCATATGTTAAGTGTTTATTTCTGGTTAAGAACAAGCTGTTTGTGCAAAAAAAAAAATATTTCTCAGCATGTTTAAGTTCTTTACTTTTTCAAAAACAAAATTACACAATGTGAAATTGTACTTCTAAAACACTTGTGCAGACCATTTAAAGCATTTTCACATCACATCCCCTTGGAAGGAAACTCAGAGATGTTTGTTCTCTCATGGGCCATTAAAAATTTCTGGCTATATGGTAACACCCACAGTGCAAAGTTAGATTTGCATAGCTAGGTTGGTAGAATGGATTTGAATCAGAAGAGCATTTGCAGTTTGCATGCAGAGATGTTAAACAGTCAATAAGGGGCAAAAAAATAAGTGGAGGCATCATCAGTATTTGAAGAATTAACAGGAACAAATGAACAACCATAAAAGAACTTGGAAGTTTCCTCACACTCAATCATACCTCAACAGTCTGAAAGAAAAATGCTGTACTTCTTAGAAGTAGGTTCAGGAAATTACAGAGAGAAGTGCCTGCATGGCTTTGCATTAAACAGATGTTTAAGAGTTTTCTGACACTTGTCTCTTTAACTAGGGTTTGAAATCTGTGGTAGCTGTTATGTGTGACACAGGAGAGGGTTAGATATAAAAAATGTTAAAGGGAAAGTAAAGAAGAAGTAATGAGTTGGGCACTGAGGCAGCAGGGAAGCTTAAGCAAAGAGCAGTGTCTGTGTGACCTTGGTACAATGTATACACTGAAGTCCAGTCACACAATCTCTGCAAACATTAAGTGCGGGACAAGGTGTACTTCACACAGGCACACATACTGTACATCCAGAGTGCAAGTATGCATTATCACCTCTGGGATTTGTCAAAGACATTGGTATGGAAATTGCTGTAATGTCAACACTCTCCTTCATATGCACACACAGTTACCTGTCTCAGCACTTCTGGTTTTACACTCATGCTGATAACACTCACCAGTCAATAAAACTAATTTGTTTTTTTTGGTCAAAAAATGAGGTTTGCATTGTATTTTTGCTGGTTGGGTTTTTAATGTTGATGTCATCAGGCAGGACTGCAGGGTAGTACAGGATGCTGAGATAATTTTTTGGTGTCTAATTATTTGTTTTTCAAATTTCCATCAGCCATCTCTCTCACACAGTTTGTGAATATTGTCTAACAAAAGAAACGCACTGATGCCTTAACCAGTCGGCAACCCACTTGGTTTAACATGACTAGCACTAAAATTGTCACAGTAATGCAGGCTCTCAAGAACTTTGTGGACCAGGATGTAATTAAATATGAATGACAGACTGACAGTATGACAGTAAGCGACTGATATGTACAGACCCTAACCCTTAAGAGCCACTACCTCATTAGATACCTGACTAAAAATAGTCTTTATACAGAATGAGATACATTAATGTTCAGTTGCTCAAAAAAAAAGTAATGCATCACACAGTGATACATTGGACAGGTTTAAGGGAGGTAATTCATCATTTTACTTTTTTTTACCTGATGCTTAAAATAACTACTTACATAATTTAAGCAACAATTCATTATTTCACTCAGGAGCCCTGTCAATTAATTGTCAATTAACAATATTACCTCAATCTTATATCTGACATCATAAGCACAATTCCTGATTATGGGAAGTATGTGCTATAGGTTTCTCCTTTATGCTCTTAACTACAGTACAGACAGAAAAGGTGTCAACATCTGCCCAAACAGCACTACCCAGAAAAATGTGCCAAGAACAAAGTTATACCACTTTATATCAGAACCTGCTGTTGCTGAAAATCAAGCTTGGGATGCTTGGTTACTGTCAGCATCCTGCTCATATGATGAGCATCACTCAGGGTCTGGGTGTCTTCAGCCACCAGCTTTGTGTTGGTATGTTTCCTGAGCAGGTGCTTGGAAAGATTTGACGTTTGCAGCAGCAGACAATAGTTTCTTTCACATAACATAATATTCTTGACCATTCATGCAACAAATTCAAAGTAATATGAAGTATTGGATGTCTACTTGAGCAGCTCTGATTTTTGAGTTCTTTATAAGCTCGAGCCCTAGTCTCAGATGCATAACATGAATATGGTCAGACAGTGTTGGGGAAGCATACATGAAAAGGGACATTTGATTTCTTCTTCTTGTGCTACTTGAAAAATAAGTATTTTGTTGAGATGTTATTACTGTTTGTTTCCCTTTCTTTAAGAGTCACATTTTGGTTTATTGCAACTGTATTACATTACTTTTGCTGTCTTATTTATTTAGGAAATTACAGAGAAACACAATGGCAGGCGGTTTCACAAAATGGATACTTGGTGGCAGCACCAACCTCTAGCGTCACTGGGACTTAAAGGTACACAACAGGAGTTTCTTTGATTCCTGTGCAATATTTCTAATATCTCCAGGTCAGTTATTCATCTTTAATGTGATCACAGATGTTTATGAACTAAAACGAATCCCTGGTGACGTGTTATCGGTGATCTAAAGGTGTGTTAAGAGTGTAAACATTGAAGTTTAACAGTACGTGAGTATTGTAGCAGAGAAAATGGCGCGGATGCTGTAGCTCATTCATTCCTTCTTCGTATGTTTCTTTCGTCTCCCAGGCATTTGTGAGATATTTCTTTGTATGTTAAAAACAGTTGTGTGTATGAGCATTGTTTGAAACAGAGCAAGCTAATGTTAATTTGTAGTTTGAGATCAGCTACGGCTGCAGTCCTGTTTAAGTGGTGCACATGTTAAGAGGAGACAGTGACACAGTTCTAGTTCAGCGGTTATGGCAGCAAGCTACAAGATATTCATATTTAGCATTTCAGTTTGTGTTTATGTATAGTGTTAAGATGTTACTGTTTAACTGTAAAAGGGATTAATTCTGTTATTAAAAGTGAACACTTATAAAATGTACGGCTATGACAAAAATACTCTTTAATGAGAGGAAGATGAGGTGTGAGTAAATGAAGAGCACACACATAGGTAAAGACAGACAGAACAGGTGACATGAAGTGAAAGTGTCTATTTTAAGTTAAATATGAATGTTAATTTGCTTATTGTTAGAAAAAATTTAAAGAAAAAAAGATACTAATGTGAAAACAGAAATTTGATTTTATCCAGATGTTATGATCTGTGCTTTAATGTAAAGCAGACAAAATAGCAGAGAATAAGTCATGTTTGCAGTTAAATTGTTTGAACAAGTTTGTTAATAAAATGATTATCCGGTTGAATGGAGAATGAAGAACAGACATATGACACATCTGTCAGTGGGGACCGAGCCAGGACCCACTACATTCTTGTTAAACGAATAGGTGAGAGTCATAATAAGGTGGTTATAAAGAAAAAAATGAGAGTTTATGTTTAAACGAACAGAACAAAAAATCCAATGATTTTGTCACATTGTAAATAAAAGTATTAAATTGATATTTACATAGGCTAACACATCATACCATGCAACTCCCCATAGCTGCTTTTTTCATGTGCAAAGTCCAGTAAAATCTATACTACGAGTCCAGCAGTGTATAAGACATTAGTTGTTTAAATTTTTGGGGTTGTCTCAGGGGAGAAAAGGTTTGAACTGTCTTACTACATTAAGACTTAAGCTGAAGTCTAGAATATACATTATCTATACAACTGTGAAGCTCTTTTTCGTACTTTCTTTTTTTTGTGCTTAACTACTAGCTGCTTTTGAGGTCATTAAAAGCAGCATTTGTAACTGTGATATACACACAGACTGTGCAAGTGCATTAGCTGTGCTGGTCATTTGTTGGTAATTAAGTTTTTTTTTTTTCAAACCAGCAGGCTGCAAGGCTTTTTTTCTGCCAAACATTATGTCACTGTATTCTTTAAAAGTATGATAACCAGCCAAAAGCCATTATAAAGTTTTGACAAGACTTGTTTTCCACAGTATGTATTCAGCATGGTTGAGCAGCAACACAGTTGCACCGTCTTCTGAACAAACCTTGCTCACCAGATTGGATGGCCAACCTTATGAAGTTGTTTGCAATTTGACCTGAGGTAATAAATTACGAGTACTTTGCTCATTTCTGAAAATCTAACAGTATAACTCAATACACTGGTTGTAGCAGGTATTAGTGAAGAGAGTTTTCATTACTCTCACCTGTGATTATAAAGTTAAATCAACTCTTCATAATAAATCATTATATAATGAAACACAAAGACGTATATTCAGGCATCACTTAAGTGATGCTTAAAAAAAGAATCACTTTTTTAGGCCATGTTACATCTATAACAGTCTAGTCGTCAGAAGGAGGCTGGCAAGCCACTCTGTGTTAGCCAAATCTTCCTGCACAGTCTCCAAGAGCCTCAGGCTTTTACTGAGCTCCACCAGTGTCTGGAGGGGTGGCTCAAACTTCTTTTGAACTGAGACAGGGGACTTAAAATCCTTTCATCCATGAACAGATTGCTATCTTGGGCAGATATGAGGTCCCTTTGGAACAGCCTGTAAGCATCTCACTGATTAATATACGACAACAGCGCAGGGAAACACCTTGGTTACAGGTTGTCACTTAATACTAAATTGAGTTAAACCTATTTTTGTCAACATCTACCAATAAATAACATGTGACAGTAAGCAGAGAGACAGTGCTTTTTACTTTTTGAGATGGCAGATTAACACACCTGTGATATTTAGCAATATTCAGGCATGAAAATGTCTCACCTTTCA